GAGAAGAGATTTTAGCAATTGATATGAATGAAATTTTGAGAAGAGCTTACTTTGTTTGTAACTTTGAAAACAATTATCAAAAATTGAGAGAACAGAAAATAGTTTTTAGAGAATAATAAAAGACAGTTATTTGAAAACAGGTCTTTTTATAACTGAATTTTATATATTTTTTATTTTTAATTTTTCGAATAATAGAAAACTGTTCTCAGAGTTACAAATTAAGTAAAGCTCACTTTCAATTATTGATACGAGTTATTAACCATTTGATCCCTATTTTTGGGTTTTGTCGAAGGGAGGTTATTTTGGCATTTCAAATTAAACAATGCTTGGTCCAATCCATCCAACCTGCTAATGCGGCCCAATAAAATTAAATTGGGCATTACCTAACTTTTACTTTTGAATATATGTTTTAAATCATATATTTTTACTTTTGAACACTTGTTTTAAATCTATTGGGACACATTAACAGGTTGGATGAAGTGGGTTGGACCAGGTCGTCGTTCTTTCAAATTTAGCTTCTAGCGCGCCACCTTGTTCCTTTATTAAATCAATTGACAAATTTGCCCTCTCACGTCTCTATCCTTTTCAAGTGAAATATATATTTGAGACCCATAAAAATCTCATTCTCAGTTCTTTTTCTTTATAAAAGTATTGTAGACTAACAAATAAAAAGATAAACTAAAGAAAAGGCCTTTTTATCACTGCAACTTCTGAATTTTTTCCAATGATGCCGGTGGGTTAGAAAATTTCTTTCACTTAGTTATGCAAAATTAGATGTTTTCCATAGATTTTTAATGAGAGTGCAAAATTTTTTAAAGTTCTTGGACCTTAAAAGCACCATGTGTCCCCTCATTGTCTAGACAATTACAAAAAATAGTCAAGTTAGTGAAGTTTTTTATAATTTTAGTACGGGAAAAATCTAAATTTTATAAATATATAAATCAAAAAAATAAAATTGATAGTTATAAAATGCAAAAGAAAATAAATTTAGTTGGGGCAACTGGCCCACTGGCCTATACTAGATCTGTGCCTGGTCGCAATCCATACCCTGCATTGATACGATCATAATCTAAGATTTCTTTCTCCCGTAACATCTGTGATCCCCTTCTCCGTCAGTTCCAGCATAGCAAGTAAAATGGATAACAGATACAAAAGATATTTTCTCTGTTTGAAGAAAAGAGATGCTTAAGAATAAAATTGTCATTTTAATTAATTAAAAAAAAAAGAGTGGAGCACTAGAAGAGAATGTGGAGCGCAAATATCATCGCCCCTTTTCCGAATGAGAATATTTTGTAATTTAATATGTAATTTAACTTTATTAAAGAACCCAATATGAAATTTTAAATTACTAAAAGAATATGACCTCTCTTTGAAAATTAAAGGTCTGGTTCCGCTACGCGACTGACATGTTGGTAATTTAATATAAAATTTTGATTTCAAGTCATAATTAAATGAATGTTATGTTTGGGAGTATTTAATTGGTGGCTTAGATTTAGAATTAGAAAAAAGTTAATTATTTTGAACAAAATTTTCTCAGATTTTAAATTTAAAGTATTAATTCAATACTCTCAATCAAACAAACGTAATATTAGAACTTTTTACAACAAATATAGCTTTTATGCAATATTGTTCTAAAATGGGCTGTCATTGGGTAACCGAAAACCCTCCATCTTAGAAGTTGGACAATCCTACATCAAAGGAAGAGATCCAAGTCTTCTCCGGAGTGGGTTTGGGCTAGGGCCAGGGGATGGTACTATCGGGCTTGGGACACACTGGCCAAATTCACTCTATTTGTCATAGACGAAAATTAAAATTAGGAACATAATTTGTTTGATTGGACACACAATAAATTTTGTTTCATCGTGAGGTTAGACTAGGTAATTCATATGCTTTTAGTAGGACAATGTTTATCAATATTTGCTTGACGCTTCAAAGAGTTCTCTATTTTCGGCTTAGTATGTATGTAGACATGGTAACGAAATCGCCAATATAGTTGCTAAGTATTTTTGATATTATTTTCAGAAGGATGTAATTCTCTCTCGTATCACTTTTTAGATCCGCTAAAAAAATATCTTTATGTATTGTTGGTGGGATTGGGTTGTTTGTTGGGTTTGTGTTTGGCAGAGAGAAAAAAACAAAGGGGGATGTAGGACTCTTGTTAAGTTGATTGGATAGTTATTAGTTGCTTAACAGATGAATTTTTTTTTTTTTCAATAGCAAGAAACACAGCGAACACATACTTTCAGCACATATTCGGGTCGAACTCTGTCCTTGTAGTGATGAAAAAGTTATATTATTGGGCTAGTTGACCTTTAGTTGCTTAAGGATGTTTGAAGAAGAAACTAATGGAAGAATAAACTAATATACAACTCATTTCCTTCGTAGTTCAAATTTATAAATAATATCATGCTGTGTTCGACTGCATTATATTCGAATGCACAGAATTAGAGTATTAAAATTAAAATTGATGAAATTAGAGAAAAGTAACACAAAAAATTAAACAAAATTTTTTTCGAATTCTAATTTCAATTTTAATTCCAAAATTCTAATTTCATGTAATCGAACACATCCTTAAAATGTGTTGAGGATGTGATATATATATATATATATATATATATATATATATATATATATGCACACGGTTGAATGTATGCATCAATTAATGATACTATCACACAAATGATTTCATCAAATAATTCCTCTCCCTTCGATCTCAATACTTACAAAGGAACTAGTTTCACCCAAAGAACTGAAACAATCTTCTAGTGAAAAATTAATAATAAAATAAATAAATTTAAATATAAATATATAAAAAATAATATGGGCACTCCTTGTCCAGACTTTTCGACATACAATCATCCTCAATGGGGTGGGAAGGGCCCCACCTATTTGATTATGTTTGGTAAGATGATGAAGATATGACAACCTACTTAAGTAAAGGGTCACCAACAATCAATTAATCATGACCATTAATTTTTCACATACTCAACCACCTACTTAAAACTGTTAGAATCAGATGATTTCGCCAAACAATCATGACCGTTCAATTTTCACACAATTGAACACTCAAAACAGCTTGATGATACAAGTGGGGTCGCGTTCAGGAAAGATTCTAAGCAACTATCAAATTAGGAAGTATTTTTCAGATAATTAAAGGACTATATCTCAAATTATTTTGCTTTTTTTAATTCTATAAAAAAAAAAAACTCAAAAAGCTAGAAACAATTGAATTTTCAAACTATTTTTTTATGCTCTATTTGTTTTCATCATAAAATATTTTTTATTTTTAATTCAGTTTTTCAATATTTGATTGTACACAAAGTTGAAAATTGCTTTTACAGACAATATGTTTTACAATTCTTTAACAAAATAGACTTACTGAATCTTGCATTTGGAAGTATTAAATTGACACTGTGGATTTGTAAGTTAAAAAAAAAAATTACTTCAAATTTAAACTTTATATTTTATTCAATTTTTTCTCAATTTAAATTGCCATCACACTTCGTTTTGAGTGTTCATCACACATCCTCAGGTAAAAGAGACCATCAAATCCATGTCGATTTCAGTCTTTTGATGCCTTTATTGCTGAATTGTTCCATCACAAGGTTGGCTTGCATTTTTCAAATTATAATCCCATATCGAGTTTTAAAGATTGTAATTTTGAGAAAGAAACACCAAAAAGTTGTGAGAAAAATATTTTGATATAAAACATTTCACAAGAAAAATATTTTGGAATAATTTTATTTTTTTATTTTTTTTACAGGAGAAAATAGAGCCATTTAAGAACACAAAAAACTAAATCAAACATATAATGAATGTTTAAATTTTTTCTTTTTAAATTTTGTTTTAGATTGACAGAAACTTAAAAAATCATGTCTATTCTTATATTGCGTTTGAACTGTAAAAATGAAACAAAATAAAATGCTAATTTCGATAATTTATTTACTCATTTTTTATGAAAATTAAAGTGTTCAAGATCATTCATGAAATGATTATTTATTTAATATATATCATTTTTTTAAAGGTATTCTCATTGTATTATCATACCAACATTATGATGTAAGTGAGGTTTAAGTCGTAAATGTGCTAAATAGATCTAATTCGAACTCACACACTGTATGATAGATGCGATTTTATTCAGATACGAGTTATTCAAATATACCAAGCTATTCGTGAAAAGATTTAAAAACTATTATGAGATTTTGGAAGCTATTAATGAATGTTCAAAATTTTTCTTTTTTAATTTTTTTTTTACATGGGCAGAAACTTAAACAATCATGTTTATTCTTATATTGTGTTTGAAATGTAAAAATGAAACGAAATAAAATGCTAATTCTGATGATTTATTTATCCATTTTTTATAAAAATTAAAGTGTTCGATAATTTGATTCTAACATCATAACACAAGTGACATTTAAGTCATAAATGCGCTAAATATATAAAATTTGAACTCACACCCAGTATGCTAGATGCGATTTTATTCAGATATGAATTTGTTTAATTACCGAAATTTGATCTTATCATTCAACTGTACCAAACTATACGTGAAAATATTTTAAAAGTTATTATGAGATTTAAATTGCGAACATGCTAAACAGGTATAATCACTTTAAAAAAAAAAAAAAAAAAAAAAAAAAAAAATTAATTAATACTAATATATAAGATATGATTAGATACCAAAATTCGATCTTAACGTTCAACTGTATAATACCAAGTTATACGTGAAAAGATTTTAAAAATTATTATGAAATTTAAATCGCAAACTTGCTGAACAGAGCGAATCTGAACCCAGGATCATATGTTATATAAGATATGATCATTAATTTAAAAAATAAAAAATAAAAATATTATATAAGATATGATCAGATACCAAATTTGGGTCCTAGGCATTAGAAATATTTTGGAAGCTATTCGCTCGCTCTCGGTACAAAACGGTCATTTTCTTAGCATTTGAGGGCAAAAGAGACTTTCCCCAACTCTAACAATACAATGACATAACATCACATGGCTCCATCTGTGAATCCAGTAGCCAATCTCTCCCTCTATCCTCTGCAACTCATTTCCAAAATAAGTCCTCTTCTACCGGTAATACAAATCCTCATCAATCTTTAAGAAATTCTACAACTTTATAATTCAATTCTCTCTCACTTTTTCTTTCTTTTTTTTCCATCTCCATCACCTCATTATTTGCATTCTACTTCCAACAATCACATTCCGACTTTATACATCTTTTTACATTCCACCCAGATCTTGGGTCTTTGACTACCAAAACCCAAACAACCCATTACAATTCTCATGAAATGGAACATAAACACATGCTCATACTAGTCCTCGGACTAATCTCTGCATCAGTCACATCAATTCTGTGCTTCATGATCTGTGTTTGTCGACGAAGAAGGTCCCCGAAAGAGGACGAGTCCAGTGACATAGAAGCTAGCCTAGAGTTTAAAGAAAGGGACGATGAGTTTGGTATGGAAGAGTTGATCAAGTTTGGCGGCGGCGAGAATCTGGGCATATATGACATATTGGAAGCTCCTGGGGAAGTGATTGGGAAATCTGGTTATGGGACATTGTACAGAGCGAGTTTGGTGAGGATTGATGGGGTTGGATTGCTCCGGTTCTTGAGGCCGGCGTGTACCGGGAGGATGAGGGAAGTGGTGGGAGTGATAGAGTTGTTGGGGTCCGTCAGACACCCCAATTTGGTGCCTCTTGTTGCTTTTTATGCTGGGCCCAGGGGGGAGAAGCTGCTGGTTCATCCCTTTTATGGCTGCGGCACTTTGGCTCAATTCATTAGAGGTAATTTTCATAATGTCTTTGCTTTGTGTTCATTTATTTTTTGTCGCGGTGAAAATGGTGTTTATTTGATGTTTGAAGCATGAAAATTGTATGGTTGAATTGAGAATTATGGAGGTGAGTTGAGGCAAAAAGCTGCACGATTTGACAAGTGAAGTGACTATTAGTGTTTGACGATTGTATATTTAATTAATAATTAAATATTGTCGTGCACAATTTTGCTCAACAAATATGATTTGATCTTGATTGGATTTATATAGAAATGGAAGACATTTATTAACCTAGATTACAGAAGAAGAAATAAAATAAAGAATTGGTCAAATGTTAGCAATGGCTTAAAAAAAAAACTAATTTCCCTTTTTGGGTTATTTATTTTTCATTGAACTATTTGGTTTGCTTTGTTGTGTGGTAGTATTGGGAATTTAGTGCAGTGCATATATTCTCTGTCTCTTACTTTTTTCCATTTTGGAATAACCTTTGTTTTTCCATTTAGGTCTTTACACCACTTGTTTTCATCCCCTGTTTTCATAGTGGATTTTACTTTACCATGATCTTGTTTGATTAGGAAACTTGAAAATAATTTTATGTTTGGAAAATGATAGACATCAAGAAGATTTTTTTTATGATTTCATGACTAATGAGACGGGGCATAATTAGCTTTTCTTTAGAAACCGGAGAGAGAAACCCTCACTCAAATTTGCTTTGGGGAGCGAATTTTCTTTGGATCGTTCTTAGATTTTCTTTTGGAGGTTGCCGCAACTATAGCCATTTAGTTCCATATTTTTGTTTAAACACAGTGTGTATGGTATATATATATATATATATTGAAGCTATGTATAATTAACCGTATGTGTTAGTCATATCTCTTCAGCATGGTTAGGATTATGGATGATAACTCAAAAAAAGTTAAGGCACCTATAAACAAAAGTAGTCATCGACAATTTTTTGATGCACATATAGAGGAGGACTACTTTGATGGGCTTCTTAACGTTTGTGATGACTATGGTGGAGGAAGGCTATGGATCTTTATACTATTGGAAAGAGAATATTGAGAGAGAGAAACTAACCTAAGAAAGAAGAGAGTCTGACATGGGTGGATTTCTCCATGGCATTTATCATTTGTGATACAATCTTGAATATTTGTTCGTGAAGTCTAGCATTGCTCTTTATGTTTTTTGGTCTGGTGTTTACATGGTGATTCAGCACATCTCTTAACTTTCCCAATCAAGAGGAAACATGTCAAACTACTGAGCTACATCAAAATCGATTTTACTTATTCCAAATTTCATACAATTTCACTTAAAAAAAAAAAAAAAAAAAACCGATTTCTTCGTTCATAGGAATTGTTTGGCGCACTTTCATGTCTTCAATTTGATTTTTGAGCCAAACACATGGTTATTTAACACATCTCTTAAGTTGCATCAATCAAGAGGAAACATGTCAAACTGCTGAGCTACATCAAAATTGAATTTACTTGTTCCAAGTTTCATTTAATTTCACTTGCCAAAAAAACAAAAAACAATTTCTTTGCTCTTAGCTGGAATTACATATGAATTTTTTTTGTCTGTTTAATTGGACCCCTTCATTCACGTAAGATGATAGCAATAATTAACATCTTTACTGCATTATTTATGTGACAATTACTTTTCCCATTTCTGCTTTTCGTTTTTCAATTGGCAAATTGTGATATTATCACAATTTACTACCATGAGATCTTTATTTGCTAATGAATTACATAATTTATAGCATTGAAGTGTCCTTTAAGTAGAACAACTATGTTTTTAATGGGCAGATGGAAATGAAAATGCTCACAAATGGACCATCATTCAAAGGATCTCAATTGGTATTGTTCAAGGAATAGATTATCTTCACACAGGAATGGAAAAACCCATCCTTCATGGAAATCTCAAGTCGAAGAACATATTATTGGATCGGAATTACCAACCGCACGTTTCAGATTTCGGACTATATCTGCTCCTGAATCCCACTGCAGGGCAAGAAATGCTTGAAGCTTCTTCAGCTCAGGGATACAAAGCTCCCGAGTTGATCAAAATGAAGGATGTGAGTGAAGAGACTGATATATACAGCCTTGGGGTGATTTTACTTGAAATCCTAACAGGGAAGGATCCAGTCAGTGAGAAACCAACAGCTCCTCAGGATTTTTACTTGCCAAACTTCATGCGGAAAGCGATTCTTGATCATCGAATTATGGATCTTTACCATCCGGAGATCGTTCTTGGCCATGAAAGCCCGGTTATTGAAGAGCGTATTCTCAAATTCGCGCAGCTTGCCTTGGCTTGTTGCTCTCCTTCGCCTTCTCTTAGGCCTGACATAAAGCAAGTTCTTAGGAAGCTTGAAGAAATTGGAGAGTAAGGGCCTGTTTGTTTTGGTTTTCTGATAACAGCTTTCTGTTTTCGGTTAACAATACTAAATTTTGTTTCGTTGATAGTTTCAAAAAAGGTATGCTTTATAGTTATCTGAAAACAGAATTTTTAGAAACAATTTTCAAAAAACTGAACCAAACAGGCCCTAAGAAATCTTTTTTATTTTTATTTTTATTTTTATTTTTTTGCAGAAAATGAGCTTGATGTTGATGAGAAACTGGCACATATACAAATATAAAGTTAATACAATTGATAGCATAACATTTGCCGGGAAAATTGTCATATGTGGATGACCCTTACAGCAAGCAATTGACCATTTCAGGCTACCCAACAAAGGTTGTAGATTTCTTGACATTGATGTTTATGGCTAAAGTCCTTTTAAAGAGATACACTTGAGAGTTTTGAAGCAGAAAATGTTGAAAATTCCAGCTATATACAACAAGGATTGCTGAGTTGCTGATTGGAACTCTTGAATATAGAATTTCCCATGTGCAGATAATTGTGGATCAATTGGGTGGGTCCCATCTGCAATAGATATATATATATATATATATATATATATATATATATATATATTGTGGTTGAGTCATTTGTGGCATGATTGTGGTAGAGATCAGTGGATGACCCATTCAATTCAATGGGTGTGTTCTTCTAGTTACTTGTCAATTTGGTACTTTAATTGCAAGTTGTGTTCGACAAAATTTGAAGAATGCATTTCAGAGTGAGAAATAGGAGGAGGGTGGGGATATTTACTTCTATTGCTCAATGATGACATGCTCCACAAATGCCATTAACTTTAGAGAGACGGAGAGGCTAAAGACTAAAGAGCCCCTCGTGACAATTTATATATTATTTTCCTCAAGTGGAGTTTAAAGACTATAGTGTGATGATTAGTTCACAGTTTTGTATAGAATAATAATGCAACTCTTTCCATTCTGGAGTTCTTTCCTCTTGGAGACTAACAGCAAATGTCATTGTTCTGAAATGGTTTTCAGTTTTGTTACTATCAATAAAGTCAATGTTGGTGGTGACTCGTTTTCAAATTCACATGTATGGATATGATAATCAAATATTGTATTATTTTTTAAATAATTATTCTATGATCCCTCTCACACACGGCACTTAAGTTTTTTCCTCTTAAGTTTTTTCCTCTCAATATGTTATTACTATCGTCGTAGTTCTAACAAATTATTTGTGCTAAGGGAAAATCGAATCTAAGATTTGATACTTCTTGATACATCAATTCAACTTTTTTTGGACTGAACAGTCGGAATAATCCATTTCGTGACTTGTATATTAGTTTTTAAAATTCTTTTTATAACAACCAATCAAGTACAAGCTTAAGGAATATGAATGATGTCACATTATCAACAGTATGAATTTGCGATACATCTATTCTTTCACAAAATTCCAGTAATGCACTTTATGTTCTTAATATCCCCTAATTTAAAGCATTGTGTTGTAACTGTTTGAATCAAACATGATTTTGAACCTTTTTCTAATTCTGAGCTAATTCAGGAAAACTGGACCAATTGAAACACTGAAAGTTTACAACTCACACCCCCAACACCAAGCTGCACGAAGGGTTTGGTCAGAGCATGATGGGTCATTACATACTGTGGGACCAGAAAGTACCCCACCAATCCAAATAATCCAACTGTACAATTCAAGAATCAATCACGTGCAACCACACGTCCTAACCATTGGGTGACACGTGGAAGGCCATTCAAATCAAATATCAGAAGTTACGAAGGGCACAATTAAGGCCACTAAATCAGTAGCGGATTCAACACGGGGAGAGGACTAAGGAGAAGAAATAGCGATGACTGTTATAAAATACATGTATAAATATACGTAAAGGTTGACCAACCATAATATAAGAGATATTTCTTATCAATCAAGCTTTAATCATCAACGCGATTCTCGTCTTATTCACTTTAACATTTACATAAATAATTTTTCAATTATAGCATCAATTTATGTAATTAGTTTTTCTCATTTTTGATAGTTGACTGTAACATATAATTAGGGTATGTCTTTATTTATTTACCATATTTAGATATGATTTTATTGTATCATATCATTAGTATTTGCCTTTATTTATTTACCATACTTAGATAGGATTTTACATTTATACAATTAACACAAAATAATGATATATGTTTGCATTATTTCACTCTCTTATTCTACTTTTTTTCTTATATGGTATCAGAGTTTCTTGCCCAAACGAGTTTTTCAATGGCCGATAACGAATCCTCTCTCAATACAGTCACCCCCTCTCCTTCCTTCCCAAATACTATTGTTAATCCTCTAGGATCCAACAACACTCTTATCTCCATTAATGTTGCAGCTCAATCCCCACTAAAACTTACTCCTTCCAGGTACACATCGATTTTCTTCTTATTGGATATAACCTTATGGGTTATATTGATGGAACTCTACCTTGTCCTTCCCCTATCCTTAAGGAAAATGGAACAGAAAAAGTTAATCTAAGTTATTCAATTTGGATCCGCCAAGACAAACTTCTCTTTAGTGCTATATTGGCTTCCCTTTTTGATAAAATTACCCCCTTTATTGCTTCCGCCAAAACATCACGGGAAGAAAACTTGGCACGATGTATGCCAAACCATCCCGTGGTCGTGTCAAGGGCAGTGGCGTAGCCAGAAATTTTTTTTTATGGGGCAATCTATAATAGTAATAATATTTATATTCAGTACATTCACAACGATTTTTCATATTATTCATTTCTGTTTAGCAATAATATTTATATTCAATACATTCTCAACGATTTTTCAGATTATTCATTTCTGTTTCAATTAAATGTACTAAAAAAAATCATATTCAATGAACCAAGAATAAGATATAAAAAAGAAAATAATACAGTTACCTAACTGTTCTACTATATCACATATGTGAAAAATAAAAACACAAACTAAAATTTAAAAGAACAACAAGCCCTAAAGTAATTTTGATACTAATAACTAATAATTTTTCTAATTAAAACTATAATATCAAATAATAATAAATTTAGATGATAAAAAAATATATCAAATTACCTGTCTGTCGCACTGCAGTACAACTGAGTCTTGGTAAATGGTTGCTCCGCTTGTTTTGTTTGGATTGTGAAAAATATTGAAGATGAAGATGTGTTGGAAATAATCCATTTGTTTATGGTAAAGTCAAAAAGTGTGGTAGAATATCTTGATGAAATATATATATATATATATATTTTTTGGAAAGTGGTAAAGAATATAATATTTTGGGAAAGTAAAAAAAAAATATCATATTTTTTGAGAAAGTATAAATTGATAGATATTATATATAGAGAGAGAGTCTTGATCTCTTGCTCCCCATGGAGCAAGAAAAATAATCCACACTTTTTATATAGACCGTTAGATTTAATCTAACGGTCATTTTACAAACCCAACTATACTCTTTCCTGTTAACACAAAACCACTTTCACCCTATTTTTAATTTCTATAATTAATTTTACCATTACCACCTACTATAACAATAAAGAGGTAATTATCAAAATAAAAATAGAAAACTTTGAAAAAAAATTAATTCCCGTACCTTTACTTTTATTTGTCGTGGAAGAGTTTACTTTAAGGCTTTGAGGATTAAATGTTTTTAAATTTTGTTTAATTTCATCCTTTTATGAAGAGATTAAAAATTTTGTTTTCGTTTTATTTAGTTTAAGCTTTAACAATTTTGAATAAAGTCAATCTCATATGATTCCATTATTCAGTTGTATAATATTGTTATCCACACGTACATGCACAAATAACTATAGCAATAATACTGTTTTCCATGAGAGCTTTGGTTCTGGAACAATATGAAACACCTCTAAATTCTGGAATCGTGCACACCGCTTAACATCTCAGCTGCATCTTTCCCAATTTATTTTTAAGCCTCTCCTTGAAAACCCACATATACATATTCTCCATATCATGCTGAACCATGAAAACATCAAGTTTCAAATCTAATTTATCATACCCACCAACCCCATTACTCTCCCAAGTAATCTTACTCTTTGATTTCTCATTCAAAGTTGGTTTAAAAAAAAAAACCTGAAGAAAAACCAGGCACCCTAGACACTATCAAGCCTCTTAGCAAGATGCGGGTATTGTTTTTCTTTCAAAGAAATATTTAAATAAAAACAAATTTATTAGTAAAATATACGAGAATTAATTTTTTTCAAAGGTTCCTATTTTTATTTTGATAATTACTTTTTATTGTTACAGTAGGTGGTAATGGTAAAATTAATTATAGAAGCTAAAAATAAGGTAAAATTAATTATAGAAACTAAAAATAAGGTGAGAGTGATTTTGTGTTAAAAGGAAAGATCATAGATAGGTTTGTGAAATGACCGTTAGATTTAATCAAACGGTCTATATAGAAAGTGTGGATTATTTTTCTTGCTCCATGGGGAGCAAGAGATCAGGACTCTCTCTATATATATATATACACACACACACACAATTGTGTCACGATTATATTCCTTTTGTGAATGGGCTTTTGGTTATATATATAGTATTTTATGTATGCACTGTCAAATTTTAGAGGGGGCAACAATACAAATATAAAAATATTTCCATATAAATTTTTAAAAAATTAAAAGTTCAGTGGGGGAAGTTGCCCTCAATTGTCCCTCTATGGCTACGCCACTGGTCATGGGGATTAAAGACAAACTGATGAAACTCTCGAAGGACACTCAAAGTGTGACTGAATACATACAAATCATCAAAAGTTATGCTGATGAACTTACTCCAAAATTTTGAGTCAAGCCTCGCTTCCTCTAAAATTTTGGTCCAATGCATTTCTCACCGCCGTCTATCTAATTAATTACATGCCAACTCCAATTTTGTCTCTCTAATCTCCATTTGAAAATTTGTTTGGCCATTCACCAAATTATACTAAACTACGTGTTTTTGGATGCTTATGCTAGCCTTGGTTAAAGCCTTACACTAACAAAAAACTTAAACCTCGTTCTCGGCCTTGTGTGTTCCTTAGGTACTCTCTTACACAAAGTGCGTATAAGTGTCTAGATCCCACCACCAAACGCATCTTTGTATCCAGACACGTCAATTTGGTAGAGACAATCTTTCCATATTTCTCTCTTGACCAAAACTCTACAAGCGTTAATTCCACGAATCTCTCCATGTGGACCTCCCATGCAATTACCACACCTCCCATCTATCAAATTCCAATCCACGATTCTCCTACACCTTCCATCTCTAGCTAGATTTCCTCCCTAGAAATCTCGCCAACCATATCCTCAATTTCCAATTCTATGCATGAGATGCCCAACTCACTAACTCAGTCAATCCCTTTGGGTGGTTCCTCCCCGTGTGAAATTCCTCTCTCACGTGAGAATTTTGATGACCCTATTACTATTACAGCTCCTCCTCCCATGGAACCATCTCTCCAGCCCACGCGAACCCACACTGTGGTCACCCGTACAAAATAACATACACAAACCGAAGAAGATCCTTGTGACTACTACTCACTATCCCAGTGCATCACTTGAACCCTCATGTGTCTCACAAGCAATGAAAATTCCTGAATAGAGAGCTGCTATGTCGGAGAGTTTGATGCATGTACTTATCCGGAACAACACTTAGGAACTAGTTCCCTCTCGTCCAACTCTAAATCTTATTGGTTCCAAGTGGGTATTCCATGTTAAAAGAAATCCCGATGGCTTAATTTCACGCTACAAAGCTCGTCTTGTAGCAAAGGGCTTTCATCAGCGCCCTAGAATTGATTATACAAATACATTTAGTTCCGTTGTCAAGCCAACGACAATTCGGGTTGTTTTTTGTCTTGCATTTTCTTGTGGCTGGCCACTTCGCCAACTTGACGTGAACAATGTCTTTCTTCACGAGTATCTCACTGAGGAAGTCAACATGGCTCAACCACCAGGTTTTATTAATCCCACATTTCCAAGACATGTCTGTAAATTGCACAAAGCTCTATACGGACTCAAGCAGGCACCATGAGCATGGTACACTGAACTTAAGAATTTTTTATT